CGGCTGCTGGAACTCGCCCGTCCCGATTCACTGGAGTATTCTGAAGCGACTCTAAAGCGCTAGTTCACCCAGAAAGAGTTCAGTGTGCACCTCCAAAAGCTGATTAAAACATGACCACAAAGCTATCCCATCCTTTCAATGAATCCTAATTTCTTAATACCATCAAATATTCGGTCAGTTTAAATACCCCCAATGGTCTTCTTGCCTTTTTTCCCCGTTTGTTCAAATCGATGTGACTCTTAAATTTCTTTGGATCTATAGATTTTCCTCCTCTTTCTCTCTCCTTTTTTAAATTCCTGTTGAAGAAACTGGGGCATTTGTTCCATAGAATTTCCCACAGGCCAACACCTTTCAGCTTGCAGGAAAGTTAAAACCTCTATTCCCAACACTCTCTTTCAGCTAAGGTTTCATCAGCCCCAGGGCTTCTCCCAAGCAGATGCAACCACACTGAATTTTCAGGTTGAAGTGAGCTGGGGAGAGGCAGCTCTCCAGGGTGGAACTGGAAGCCCTAGTCCTCTGGGGCACCTGTGAAGAGGTTCTGGGCCGGAAGTAGGGAGCCAAGCAGCAGGCGGATGCAGGTTAGGCGTGCCTCTCAGCCACAGTGCTCCAGGCAGTGCCAAAGCCTGGTTCCTTGGCTCTCCCAGGGATCCTGTAAACCACTCTCCCCCTGCAATAGGTCCCTTTAGTTGTCAACTGGCCAAAGAGCATTCTGCAGTGAGAGCAATGGGGAGGGGGGCAGGGCAAAGAATAGCTTCGTTCTGCATAGCCCTGTAGAGTTTACAGAACATGCACTCACAGCACCGGGGGCTCCTAACTGCTCCACAGGAGGGCAGGCTTATTCCACCGATGAGCAGAGAGACCCAGCAGCCCAGCCAAGACTCAGTTTTAGGAAGCATCTCAAGACTCATCCCAAATCTTCAGATTCCAGGTCTAACACTGTTCTCGCTCCCCATCCTGCCTCCCTCTCTTCACAGCTGTCAAATTCACTGCGCAGAGAGAGAAGGGCTAAGATGGCCCCAGGGAAATAAAGCAGCACAGTGAGACGCGGAGTCTGGAGAAAGCCTTCTTACTTGGCTTGAGATGAATCGGCCTCCTCCTCACGTGTCTGCCCAGTGATGTCAGACAAATCTGGAGTCTGAGCACCCCGTGTCTTTCCTTCCAGGCAGTGGGTTAGGAGAGGCAGCCCTCCAGACGAAAGCCTCCCCCCAGCTCTGTCATCAAAGTCCCCCCAGAGTCCCTGATCTAGTGTGTTGGTCTCTGCCCATGGAGCCCGTCAGCGAATAAGGCGCAAGGGTGCTCGGGAGACCCAAGGGTACTGAGGCTTTCCCCAGCACACTCACCCAAGCGGAAGTAGCAGCAGAGGCCTGGGGTTGTCTGGGTGGGAGAAGGGCGGAGCAGGGGGCTCTGAGGGCCTCCCCCCGACCTCACGGACAGTGGCTTTGATCCTGGGGTCTGAGGCTCATAAATAATGTCCCAGGGGCCGGTGCCCTGGGACATCTCCAAGGGCGGCTGGCTGACGAGGCAGACTCAGCCGGGGCTGGGCTGGCAGACCCAGCCCAATGCAGCGGGCCGTGACGGGTTTACAGCCAGCCACCGACAGTAGTTACCTCAAATTTATCACCCTTCTACGAGGGCAGCGGGAGCTGCCAGAGGCTGCCAGGGAGCCCTTAAATCACTGCGATGGGAAATGCTGTCGGAGGAGCCATCCAGGGGGCCTCCTGCCGGCTCCTCGGGTTACAGTGCTTTCCAGAGGGGGATTTATAGCCCTAGAGCCCGGTGGAGCCAAGTTACCCAAGCCCCCCCCCCCCAGGAGCAAGGAGGGACCACAGGAGCTGAGTCCAGAGAAGGAGGGTCCTGACAATGCGTGTCCCGACCCAGCGCCCAGTCTGCTGGCTGTGTCGTGGCGCAGGGCGCGTATGCCCACCCCGACGGCCTGTCCGCCTCCCGCCTCCCGAGCGAGGCCACTTGCGGCCCAGCCCGGCCTGTGTCCACGCATGTCTGAGCCCTTTCGGAGTCCATCAGCCAACAGGTGCAGGCATGGGGTGCGGCCGTTTGTCCTTGCACTTGAGCAGTGGGCTGGGCATGTGTCCGCGAACTAGGACTGCACAGGTGGGCGGGACAGAGGTAGGCGGGACACAGTTAAAGGTAGGGGGTTCCGTTCCGGGTCCCTGTCCATGGCCACCCGCTGGCGTGAGTGTGGGTGACTAGAGGAGACAGACAAGAGGAAAATAGAGATGCTGGTGGTGTTTACTAAAAGGGATGGATGGAAAGAGACCAAGGAGGGAGAAAGGGCATAAAGCAAGCACCGCAAAGTCTACACGATGCCCCAAATGTGGCCAGAGGGAACGGGAGGGAGGGTAGGGAGGGGCGCAGAAGCACCGCAGGAAGGACGGGGTGAGGAGGAAGGCGACCCAAGAGGGGAGGAGGCAGCCAAGGAGGCTCCTCAGACTCTGCAGAGGTGACACTGGCTCAACAGCAGGCCCCTCACCCCATGCCCTCTGGCCACAGGCTGGCAGCCTGCCCGAGCCAGCTCCAAGCACAGGAAGCGCAGGGCTGGGCAGGGGTCTGGAAGCAGACTTGCCCCCTGGGCGAGGCTCCCTTGCGTCCCTCTCGGCGGCCCTGTGTGCCCCATGAGCAGCGCTGATCAAGGGGCAGCCCGCCAGGTGGGACGCGTAGACCCTGGGGGTCAGGAAAAGTCCCCAGGTGCCTTCTGCCCCCCCTTTTCCCATCCTTCACCAGCCGAAATGCTTCCTCCTCCTCAAAGCCTCCAAGACAGCCAGAGTGGCCGCCCCCATGCCTCCTGGGCACCCCACAACCCTTTACTGGGTTTGCGTTCAGTGATTTCACACATATAAAAACACCTGACGCCATCGCTGACCTCTGTGGTGGACAGGCGGAAGGCGCCCGTGGTCTCCACCGCCCGGGTTGGGCCTTTGTGAGGCCCCCCTCCCTTGGAGTGTGGCAGGACCTGTGACTTGCTTCTAACTAAGCATCAGGCATCCGGGTTTTCTGGCACCCCTGAAACACGGTACTCCCCGGCCTTCTTCAGAATCTTCAAGAACTGTCATCCCAGCAAACCATCCCCCACCCCATTGTCCATCTCCTTGGGCAAATGTGATGGCCAGCTACCAACACATCACCCCACTTCAAGTGTGGGCTGTGGCAGGACCCCAGGGGCACCCCCAGTCCCTACCTCCCCACTGCACTGTGCAGCAAGGGACAGCAAGGGGTGCCCTTCTTACTAAACTACCTTCTAGGGAGACAAAGGTCCTCATCTACCAACCTGAGCCCCGAAACACAGCGGATCTAACAGCACAGTCTTTCTGCCCATTTCCACCAGAAAGATGATTTTGCCGGGGACCAGAGGATGGAGGGTGCCGGCCTGCCCGTGAAGCAGGACGAAGCTGGGGGGAGAGGCCGGATCCTGCAGTGGACAGGACAACAAAGCTGTCGGCCTGGCGTGGTGGCCATCCTGGGATGCCTCCTCTCGAGCAAAGGTCGCACCTGCCGGGCCCATGTGTCCTTTGGTGGAGGGAGACAGGTGCTGTTTGGCACTCATGGGCAGAGCTACGTGCGGGGGCTCCAGCGCAGGAAGAGCACCTTCTCCCTCCCACGCCCCTCAAAGGACCGTAACAGGAAACAGGCGCCTTCGGCAGGTGCGCTGGTTCAGGTTTAAACGTGAAATGAGGCAAAACTGGGCACAAGGAAGGGTCTCCACGGCAGGCAGCCCAAGAGCTGGGGCTTTCCACACAGAGCAGGACTCCAGCCCACTGCTGGAGTATTGGGGGGAGGGGAGGGGGGCTGCTCTGTCTGGCCTGGAATCCATGGCACCTGCTGACCCCTACCTGTACCCCTACTCCCCTCATCCACGAGGGGACAAAGCCTGTCATTGTGAAAATCGAGGCACAGAGTAGAAAACCCCCGAGCAGGATAACACAGGGAGACAAGTTCTCCCCTAAGTCTCAGTGAGAGGCCCTCCCCGTTGGGGGGGCAAAGGGCAGAGCAGCAGAGCCAGGCAAGCACAGGCACCACACGCAGAACATCTCTACTTCCTCCAAGTTTGGGACAGCCCAGTGTGCCCCCCAGCAGTTTTGGGGACAGAGCAGGGGCTGCGGCTGCCGCCCCGCATTCTCAGCCAGCGCCGAGGCTCCCTACAGAGAAAAAGTCTTCCCCCATCCTTCATGCCAGCTTCCCTCAGCAAAAGGAATAAAACGGCCCACTTATTTTTATCGCTCACAGATTTCCTGGGAAATGGGCTATTAGCTCCCCTAATGTAAAGATAACAGGCTCATCCCCTGGCAATGGCAGGACCCGGCACAGGTGCTCACAGCACTCGCCTGCTGAGGACCAAGGCCTGGGAGCAGGGCAGGGACCCAGCAGAAACCAGGGGCAGGCTGAGACTCCCCCACCCTCAAACCTGTGGTGGTGGCCACAGCCACCCTGGCCCGGCCCTTGGTGCTCCGGCCCTGAGTTCCCTCCCTCTCGCTCGCTGGTGGGACACGGGCCGAATGGAGGTAAAGGAAGCGGTGGTTAGGAGCATGGGGGTGACACCTGCTGGAGCCATGGTTTCTGTCCCTGCTGCCTCTGTCCTTGGCACGAGCTGGCACATGGCAGAGACAGCTCCCCCGGGGGGCAGGGGCAGCTGCCAGCATCCTGGGGGTAGGAGCCGTGGCCTGAGGGTGGAGGAGAAAGAGGCCCTGGAGACCCCGGGGCCAGGAGGTGTGCTGACAGCTAGAGGTGTTGCCTTGGAGGGGGTGCCCAAACCAGGAAGGGGAGGCAGCCCCATGGAGGCCATCAGAGCCCCTTCTGGGGCTGGAGGTGGAGGTGGAATTATTCTGGTTTCAGAAGGGGACCACAGTCCAAGAGAGGACACAGGGGTCCAAACCCTTCCAGTGTCTCTGCCTTTTCAAAAAGGGGTAAGGATGCACCTAAGTCGGCTGGAACTAGTGGGGAGACCCGAGTGAGCACGTAAGGACGAGGCTGGCAGAATCTGAGTGTGCACATGAATAGGACAGGCCAGTTTACTGATCAGTCTTCTCCTTCTCTGGGGGCTCCGAGGCCTTGGCCTCAGCCTCGGCCTCGGCCTCCCTCTCCCCCGTGGGCTCCGCAAGCGGCTCCTCCGTCAGGAGGTACTGGGCCAGCTGCTCCAGGTCGCCCAGGCTTATCCTCTGCAGGCGCGCTTCATGCTCCTGCCGCAGCAGCTGCAGCACGGCCTCGGCATCCTGCGGGCTGAAGTGCTTGGCCAGGACCTGGTCCAGGTGGTGCCACAGGGGCTGGCGGGCCTGGGAGGGCGCCGGCTTCTCGGGGGGTCGCATGATGACATTGATGGCGGCATTGGGCCCGATGCCATAGTCAGAGAGAAGCTTGTCATCAGCCAGAATCTGGCCTCGGAAGAGCAGGTGCTGCTGCTCCTCCGGCACCTGCAGCCTCTTGGACACTAACTTCTTCAGCGTGGCCACGCTCTCCTGCCCCGTCACCTTCACGCTGCATCTCCGGCCCAGGAGCAGCTTGACCGTGAGGAACATGGGGTTTGGGAGCAGAATCAGGAGGGATCCATGCTCCAGAGGCTGCCCTGCGGGTTGAGGGCCCTGCAGGAGAAGGCGGCTTCTCCTGTCAGTGGCGGTCTGTGGGGCCAGGAGGCCGCGGTCCAGCGGGCAGCCATTGGCTGGGGTACCATGATGTCACAATGCCGCGGGGCCCTCTCTTCCAGAACACAATCAGCGAAGTTACAGGGGCATTTCGGGCACAGAGCACGCTTCCTCCAGGTGAGAAGAAAAGGGGGGTGAAGAGGCAAAAAGGAGGGCCAGGACTGGGAGAAACGAGCGCGAGAGCGGGTTGGGGAACAGGAGGGCCCCGAGGGCTGGGGCGGCAGGAGGAAGCAAGTGTGCTGAGTCTTTCCATGCAGGTGCCCTGCCCCAGGGACAGGTGGAGTCATGGAGCTGCTCCGCCCTTGAGTGGATTCTAATCAGTGAGCAAACATCCATCAGTTGGCTCCTGTCTGTCACCTTATCCCCTCTCCCAGGCTGGCTTTCCCAGCAGCGACCCTGGGACAGACTCGGGGCACGTGTTTAGGGGAGACAAGGAAAGAAATCAAAGCTGCATCAATGAGCAAGTTGCCACTGTGGGCAACCGGGAACTTCCAGTGCCACCGGGCACCCCCGGAGCTTCGCAGAACACATTGGGGTTGTGGCATCTGAGAAGCAGAGGCTGGGTCCGTGTGCCAGACTCCTGCCCTGGCCGACGGGCCTGCCACCCCAGGGCCCTGCGGCCCGCACGCGTGCAGAGCGGGCTCCTGTGGAGGGAGGGCCCCGGCGGAGCTGCGGGTGTGGCTGGAGCGGCCGTAGGGTCTTCCGGAGCATGACACCAAGGGGAGAGGGCTGGACTGCATCGTGGGCATGGCCGTGCTTACTCCTCGCAACCCCACGCGGGCACAGCAAGTCCCTGAGTAACGAGTAACGGTCATTTCAATCAACACTGTCTTGTTATCATCTGGATGAGAAAAGAAAAAGTCCGTCCAACGCTGAGCAGCGCATCCCATCGTTGAAGGAGGAGCTGGTTTTGTATCTGTCCTTTGGCTTAAAGTTGCAGCTTCCAATGCCCCTCCAAGGTCCAGGATGGCAAGCGCAGACTGGCGCGGCTGCCGTGTCCTCCACTTGCCTGCGGAGACAGGGGCTCAGCCCAAGCGCCGGCAGCAGGTGTCCTCAGGGTTTCCATGTAGTGCCTCCCGAGACATCTGGGGGCGCCGTCTGTGTGCCAGTACTAAGCAGGCACCCGGGGCCCCAAGGTGAATAAGGAACACTGGGGACCCACCCCCACCCCGCCCTGCCCCCGACTTCTGCTGCGTCAGCAGCTTCCGGCACCAGCTTCTCCAGGTGCACGTTGCTGGAGGTCTCGGGGGTCACGCGTCCGTGCACACACACACAGAAGCCCATGGGGGGGTGTCCACCTTTGAGAAGGGAGCACATGTGGAGAAGACGCGGGTGAAGTCCCACAGCCGGAGGGGAGATCTTGTCAGGGATCCCCACAACTGTCCAGATCTCCATCCTCCGCTGTGCTTAGGCTGCCCTCCCTCCTCCTGCCCCACACCCCACTCTCTTCCCTCTCGCTCCAGCCTGGACTCTGCCCTTGAAGGATGCTGTGGCCACACCCTTGGACTCCCCGGGCCTCGCCTCTGCGCAGCCTGACCCTTGCCCTGGGGTTGTCCCAGCTTCAACCCACCTTCTGGCCCTGGCAGCCCTGGGCAGCGAGGGGAGGGGGCGGGAACACCCCTGAAAGCCACGACCTCACCTGGCCCTTCTCCTCCGCCCCCCCCCCCCAGCATCCCCACTCTCAGCAGGTGTGGTCTAGTCCCCAGAGACGCCAGGCTGACAGGTCAGGAACTCCCTTTCCCTGCCTACCAGGGCAACGTCCGCCCCAGCTGCACCTACCCCTCACCCTCCTCCGCTCCCTGCCAGGCTGAGCCTTCCAATGACCTCCATTCCTCCTTGGACACGCGCGCCCTTCCCCTACATCCCTCCTCACCCCATTCTCCACCCACCCCGGCCTGGGTCAGGATCTCACCTCCCTGTGCCGGGGGCTCTGAGCTCAGGGCCCATCTCTTTCTAGTTTCACCTCTTTGGGTCAATTCCTGCCACAGCCTCAGGGAGCTCCCTGAATAAAAGTGAGGTCAGGGCTTCCCTCTGAGCATCATCATCCAGTGGAACACCCTTTGCTTTCGCCATCAAAACCAGCCTCCTCGGCCTGCCACCCAAGGCCATCAGGGCCTGGCCCTGCTTGCACCCAGCCTTCCCCACGGAGCATCCTTCACTCCAGCCACACGCCTGCCACATGCTTGTCCCCTTTGAATTCTTCTAGCACATCCTTCAAAGTGCTGGTTGCAAAGTGTCTCTTCCATGAAGCCTTCCCTGCTTTCCCCAGGTAATCCCACCTCCTCTGTGCAACTACACTTACCTTGCCCATAACTTTTGTGGCTGCACCTAGCAATGTCTATCTCCCTTCCTGACTTTGGGAAGCCAGAAATGGGTCTTATTCATCTTTCTATCCCCCGCCTCTAGCACCCAGAACTGGCACACGGAAGGCCTAATATTTGTCTGTTGAAAGAGACAAGATTTAGACATGCTGAGCTAGACTATTGGATGCAATTGGTAGGCTGTGGAAAGATATCAACCTGCCTGCAACCTCTCCCTCACTCCCACCACCTTCCCCAGAGAGATAAAAATCCAAAATTACATAAAAAATAAATCAGAAAGTGATTCCAGTCTTTACCAAAGGATCGCCTACAGTTTTCTTTAAACAGCCAGCTCCCTTGGTGCATATGAAATGAGAGGATTTGCAAATGAGCACACACTGTGTGGAGCAGCAGCATGGACCCAGCTATCCGGGAGCTCCCTACTCTGGAGGGGAGCACTCTACACAGGACACACTGTGGATGGTGACACCCAGAGCTGAGCTTATCCAGGAAGGCTTTCTGGAGGATCGAGATTTGAGCTGTCTTTGCAGTAGATGAAACGAAGTGAAATGGGGAAAAGGGTGGCTGATCTCCCTCCCAGCCTGTGAGACTTCTAGGACAGGGGCAGGAGCCAGAGAGTTGGGAGCACCGAGGAAGCCGAGACCCAGCCACCAACCTCTCCTATTCAGATCTGTCTGTCCAGGACTCCAGAAGACACTGGAAAAGACATACTAGGCCTGGACTTTTAGAAGCACAGGAGAGCCATAGCTCTGGCCCCATGTCTAAGGCCATTGGCCACTGGCAGGAAAGTGCTCATGGGACAGTTGGCTCTGGCTCAAGTCCCAGCGTCCTTGTGGGCTGTGAGCACAGCAACTTCGAAGCTGAGGCATCCAGGAAACAGAGATGATCACACCCCAACCCTCCTCTGTGCCTGCAGCTCCCACTGCCCTCTTCAAGGGATACTATGGGGACACCTTGCTGGGTCCTCAAGTCATATTTGGAGCCTAGAAATTTCCTATTTTCCCTATGTAATCACTTGTCTTAATTGTGCAATTAGCATGAGAAAACAAATTGTGTAATCAGAGCATGCAATCAGGCAATGATTGCCATAATTAGGGGGGAGATTAGTGGGAATAAGTGCGTTTTGTGACTTGAGAAAAAGGAGCAACATGAGTGCAGAGAGATCGCTGGACACTGGTGGCCTCAGGATCCTTCTCCCACCCCCCTGCCCGCCAACACTGAAAATGCAATTGTATCACTGAGCACACGTCTGGGGCACCAGCAGGGGGAACATGCGGACAGGTCTATGAATATGCAGGCACCAGGAGTCCTTAGCAATACCCCGGGCCATAGGTACGCTGAGTTAGTTAGTTAGCATACTTTTTATCTGCATGAACTCCAGAAGATAAAAGCCAAGGGTCCAGCTAGCTGCCCTGGGCTGGCCTCGAGTGAGCCAGCTCCTTGGGTCTCATCTGTTTCCGCTGCCTAACGGGAGTGCAATCACCACCCAGGGCTGCTGTGAGGGCCCAAAGGGACACATGGCCCCAGGACTGAGCACAGTGTCCACTCAGAAAAAGACTCAGTGTGTGTTTATATAAACTTAATAAATCAGCTGTGAGCTCTATCGCCCCCAGCTGCCATGGGAGATTCCATTGCACCTAGAAATGTGTTCAACACAATTCTCCACAGCAGAGTGAGCTCTTGCTGTTTGCACGGGTAAGGCAGGGACTCCTGGGCTGCTCTGTGTCTATGAAGACTAGCTCAGGATAGAACGGGTAGCATTTCAGGCTAAGCCCTGCACCCTGGGTCCCTCCACTGTGCCCAGCTCACAGTAGGTGCTGGTGAGGTAAAGGAGGCCCATTGCTTGTCCCTCATCCTCTCCTTGGTACTGTCTTGGCAGCTGCACTAAAGTGGTTCTGTGGCTGCTGCCGTGGGAACTCCAAACCTCCCCTTCCAGGCCTTAGGGAGCTGAGGCTGAGGACAGTGGCCCCAAACCTGGAAGGGCAGGGCCAAAGAGGGCTGGAGCCAGAAGACGGAAGATGACGTGGGGCCATCGGGGCTCAGGGGCAGGGACTGCAGTCCCAGCCCTGCCCTCCCTGACCACGGGTAGCCTAGCCTCTCTCCAGACCTCAGTCCTTACACCCAATAAACAAGGACCCATCGGAGCTGCTGTCCTGGGACCTTGCAGAAGTCAGGCCCTGGCTGAGGGCATCTCAGAAACCCTGCTTAGAGCTCACCTGCTCAGGAACTTGGTGGAGCTGCAACCGGCTGTGACCACTAGATGTCACTGGTGACCTCCCTGGCCAGCTCCAGTGGCAGCACCAAGAGCAAGCCTGTGGTTTCTGCCCCTTTAGGCTCTGGGCACAAGGGACGGGAACCTGGGTCCAAAGCCTTATATGGAGACAAACCTCCTTCTCCCACAAACTGTCAATCCTCCCCTTTCCACCCTGCGGGTAATGCTCCCAGCAGCCATGCGGGGCACCCTCAGCTGGGCACTATGCCAGGCGCTGAGTCAGGATGAGGACAGTAAGGGGACACACACAGGAACCCACGGTGTCAGCAGCATGCATGAACTTCATCGTGGAGGGGAGAGAATTTTTTTTTAAAGATTTATTTATTTTTATACAAGAGCTGTGGTACAGGCCAGAGGCGCAGGAGGGTGAGAGGATTCACCAGAGACAGAGTGGGGAGCAGAACAGGCAGATGACC